AACTAGCTCGCCCGTTCGACCAATCGCGCGTCGAGTTTCACGGAACGCGCGTGACGTAACTCACGCGTTACTTCCTCGATTTCTTGCTCGCTCGTTCGTTCGCTTGCTCGCTCGCTCGCACGCTGACTCGACCCGTTCGCCGCGTGTTTCCCTGCGCGCCCGGCTCTTCCTAACGATCCTAGATTCCACGTTTTCTCGTCTTCTATCGCCTCTAATTTCTCCCCGTGTTCCTTCCGTTCCCGTTCCCGTTCCCGTTTCCGTTTCCATTCTCCTTCCCATACCCCTTTTCATTTCCAATCCTAACGCGCCAACCAATTCGATTCGAGTAATATCGAATAACGCGATCGCCCTGCTGCCCCTTTCGTTTTCATTCCCGCGGTTTACCGCGCGATCCAAACCACTCTCTAAACGGAACATTATCTATTACGGTTTTTCGTACGCGTCGGGAAATCATTTTTTTTCATCGTCTAACGCGTCTCTCGATCGAACAAACTTTAATTCCGAGTGAAAAAATTCTGAACGCGTCGGAAAACTAGGCGTGGCAAGACCGGAGACGAGAGGAGACGAGACCGGACGAAACGGGACGAAACGGGACGAAGCGAGCGTTGAACGCTAGTTACGCGGCCTATGTTTATGTCCTTTTTTTTTCTTTCTTCCGCGGTGGCTCGAAAATCCTCGATTCGCGGTATTGAGCGTACCGAAATCGAAACGAATCGTCCGAAATGCGCGCGAAACAACGAATCCTCGATTGCGAGATATCGCTATAGTCGAAACAGGATAAAATTCGAAAAACTTTCGAAAATGAAATATAGAAAGAGAAGAAAATAAAGACCAACAGAAATACGGAAATCGACTCGAACGTTAGAGACGTTCGTGTTTCTAGCATTTTTTCAACTTTACAATACCTTTTGGCGAGATACACTTGTCTCGAAACATCAAAAGAATAATTACGTGTCTCTTACAATATTGGCACGGTGTGCCGCGCGTCTCTTCGGCGTTTCGCGTTTATCACTTATTTTATCGTTTCGAATTTAGTCTCGCGCTGGCCCGATTTTCGTTCGGGATTAAACTTTTTCTTTCGACGCGACTAACCTGTCGATAACGACGATAAAACGCTATTACTTCGTTTAACGACAAATTTCTGCGCCGCTCGAGAATCCGAATATTCGCGCTGCGTCTGTTGAAAGGGCGAGTCGAGTAATGATCGTTTGCACGTGTCTCGACACGTTTGTAAGATCAACCATTTTATTTGTTTCGTTAATTTTCATCGTTTTTTCGATCGGAAACAGCTGTGGAACGGGGAAATAAAAGCAAAAGTTTATTTCTTTCGTCGACTCTACTACTCGCGAATTAAAAAATTCCCACGCGAAAATGTACAAACGAGCTTTATCTTCTAGCAACGGACAAAGAATAATCTTGCTTTCGATTCTCGGCACTTCGATCGACGAAACGTCGAAACTTAAATGTACAAGATTCTTAAACTAAATTTGTCGTTAATAAAGTAGCCAACCACGCGTCTTTACTCTTGTCCGTGTCTACGTATCGCATACTTATGTACAGATTGTCCCGAAAAGAGTGTACTTACTCGTCCAACCGAACGGAAACGTTTCGCGATCCATGCTTTTGTTTTCGACATACCAGCGCGATTCGAATGTTGGACGTTTCGAACGAAAGTGGCCGCGTATCGCTTTTTCGATCGTAATAAGATCGAATACCTTTCGGTTCGTTCCAAGATGGAAAATCTGCGTGTTGCGCGATATACGCTCTTTTCGAGCCACCCTATACACGCATATACGCGTACGCGTATAACGTAACTCGAACGGGCTTGAAAAAAGCGGTAGATAAAAGTCTGTATCCAATACTCTCGTGTTCTCGTGTTCTGTGTGTGTGTACGTGTGTATATATACAAAGCGAGTACATTTAATAACGGCATAAAATATATAGCTTAAAACCATTTCAGACCATTTACTGGTTGCGCCGACTCGAATGCGCGAAATCGCGTGAAATCGGTGAAATTAGTCCGTTATAGATCACGGCGGCGTTCGTCGATGAATCAAACGTTGCGATGACGTTCCACGAGAAGCTGGCCCGAGGAGCTTTACGTTCTCCATCATCTTGGTTTTCGGCTGCGAATATTTCTATATCTTGGCGCGGTAAAGCCGCTTCCGATGCTGAACATGCCAGGAGCGGCCGCGTTGAACGTCGGTGCGCTCGTCGTTCCGAAGTTAATGGATGGTGTGGTCGTGGGAGCGGAGAAATTAAAGCCAGTCGCTGCTGTTGTAGGAGAAATACATTAGTGAAATTTCTCTATCGAAATTTATATACGACCGACTTACGGTCCAAAGAAATAATTAATTACCTCCGGTCGACGACGTTCCACCAAACTGGAACGGTGCAGACGTTGATGCTGCAGCGTTGTTGCTAGCGTTGCCGTTACCGCCAAAGGAAAACGTCGTGTTCTGTGGTTGTTGTTGCTGCTGCTGCTGCTGCTGCTGCTGCTGCTGCTGCTGCTGTT